AAGGAGGGAGGGAGAGGGAGAGAGGGGGTGAGAGAGAGGGAGGGGGAGGGGGAAGAGGAGAAAGGGAGAGAGAGAGGGGGAGAGAGAGGGAGAGAGGGAAGGCGGAAGAGAGAGCCTCTACCTCAAAACAAGGTGGATGGGGGAACTAATTCCTGAAAAGTCCTCTGGCCTCCACACATGTGCAATGGCATTCAAGGGCCTGTACTCTCATATAAATGACAACAAAAAAGCATGGCTTCAAGTTCCAGAGCCCCACAGAGACACTGCATTCATTGGTCCTTCTACCCTGGTAGCCTTACCAACCTCAGGAAGACCTGGCCAGATGTCCAGCTATTTTCATCAGCATCTCCATGATGTCTCACTAGGGATACTTCACACGTGCCCCCTACAACTGCTGTCCAGGAACTCAGCATGACCTTTCCCGCTCTGTCTAAGTCCACATTACAGCTCCCAGAGAACTGCCAACCCTTCTCTGTCCCCTGTGCTTTTCTGCTCACTTTTCCCACCCATGACTGAGCATTTCAGCTGACTCTGGTCAGCCTCCTGAATCTCAGGACTCTTGGTACACTTGCTTGCCATAGCTCTGCCAGCAGAAATGGCAGCAATAGGGGGAAAACACGGGATAGATAGCCTGTCCTGACTCAAGGTCTCCAATCTCAGTAAAGCCCATCCAGTCACCTGGGGGCTATGTCACAGTCTGCAGGCCCTTTCAGCAATCTTTCTTCTTCTTCTCCTTCAAATCTACCTTCCTCCTTTTCTCCCTCCATTATTTGAGCCCAGGACTGGCCTCAAACTCACAATGCTCCTTTCTGAGCCTTCAGAATGGTGGGGTACAAGGAGGTAAGATGGAATCTCACTTTTAGCAAGTTATCAGTGGTACTAAGGTAGCTGGCCAGGTGCCCACCTTGTATGCTTCAGCAGAGCTTCCAGTTTACCATCCCCTCCCTCCCTCCCTCCCTCCCTTCCTTCCTTCCTTCCTTCCTTTCTATTTATTATTTACTGGTCTTTTTGAGACAGGGTTTCTCTGTAACCCCCAGCATTGTTTGTTTGTTTGTTTGTTTGTTTGTTTATTTTATTTATTATCTTTTTGAAGCAGGGTCTCCCTGTACCCCCAGCTGGCCTGGAACTCACTATGTAGACCAGGCTGGCCTTGAACTCATGGAGATCTGCCTGCCTCTGCCTCCCAAATGTTGGTATTAAAGGCATGCACCACCACGCCCAGCTGTTATCATACTTTTACAGTTGAGGGTAAGGCTAGACCCTCTGACTGGCTCAAACACATACTTTGGCCTCCTCTCCTTGGGCATTTGGCCATACCATATCTCTCCACAAAAGGCCAAAGTTTTTAGGCTTGGTACCTTTCTGGTCACAGCTTGCTATGTGCAACAGCCCTGCCACTAGGCCCACGCAGAGATCACTTCCATACTGCTAAAGCTATTGCCTGCTTTCACTGTCCTGGTCATTATGTTTACCTTGGAATCCCAAAGAACCATGCTTGACCACCCTTACCAGCATGGTCTAAACCTAAACTACTCACTGACCCAATCCACTCACCAGTTTGGGGTGGACCTCAGTGGAGATGAGCCTCAGGAGACAGCTCAAGAGGCGCTGCTGGTGGAGGGCTGAAGGTGGGGAGCGGGGGAGGGCAGTCTGGCCCTGTGTTGTTGGTGCCTGGCCCTCGGGACCCAGCACTGCCAGCCAGTCATACTCTAGTTGCAGCTTGCTTGGCTTGCCCATCATGAGGTAGACTTCAGCCAGTGTGAGGCTCTCAGAGGTTTGCAAGCTCCAGCCCTCTTCACGTAGCTGCTGGGCCAGTCGGCTGGCAGGGACTTCCTTCGGAGGCCTGGTGGCAGGCTGTCCCTGAAACAGCAGAGGTTCTGAAGGGTTCCCCTTCTCCTGGGACTCTTCTGAAGGTGCATCTGCCAGGTCTTTAGTACAAATATCTGGCAGGAGCCTGGGTCTAGGTTGAGGGTCCAACCCAGGGGGACCATTGTCAGCAACCTCTCCACTGCTAGGGGTTAGGACCTCTGGGGAAGCTGCCCTGCCAGGAGGAGGGTGCTCTCTCCCAGGTTGTGTGTCCACACAGCGGCACTGCTCTGGGATGATGAGATCCTGGCAGGACTTCAGGTAGCGGGGTAAGGGGTCAAGAAGTGAGAGCTCATCTTCCAAGTCTGGAGGCTGCCCACAGGCACAAGACAGGGCCCCAAGTTCTTGAATGGGGCTGTCTCCACCTCCTGCAAGGGCCACTGCAGGGGTCTTCTCAAACCGTGGACCAGAGTCTTGGTGTCTATGGGGAACTTTGTCAGGGGCATCTGGGCTGCTCATACTTGGGGCTGTCCCCTCTCCAGGAGCACTCTCAGGGGAACTCTCTCCAGAACTCTGTGAAGCATCTGTAGCAAGAGGGGGCCTTACCCCACCCTTGCCCTCAGCACTGCCCCTCTGGCACTTCACCTGGCCTCGGGCTATGCCCTGCCCACTCTGAATGCCCAGGATTTGGGCTGGAGGCAGCGAGTGTATGTCCTTGGTGCCCTGTTTGCACCGGCCACCCTCCTGCCAGTGCACAGTGCAAAAGGCTTTGGAGTGCACCACACGGGCCACACCCGGCAAGGGTGTCAATGTGCAGTTCTCGCCTGGAAACAAGTGCAATGCCACCTTCTCCTGGGTCTGTGCTGTGCTTGAGTCCTGCAGCTGCCTCTCCTCAAGTGTCTTCCGCTGGGCACACTGTCAAGGAGCAACCCCAAGCAGCCACACAGTAATCAGGCTACTTATCAGTGGAAAGTAACAGATTGGTTCTTCAGATTAGGGCCCTACTCCTTGGAAGTCACACCCACCCCTTGATATTCCTGGACTTAGATCTATCCCTTGTGACCTAAGGACTTTGTTCAAGTCACTACCAAACTGTGCTTGGTGTGTTTAGGAAATTCACACCTGATAACAGAAACTGTACCTGAGAACGGGAGAGCCAACAGCCAGTCAAGAACACAAAGGAGGCTGTACTGTGCCTGGATCTTGCCACTCAATCTACTGATAGAGGTATTTTGCCACATCCTATAGCCCAGATGATTAGCATCTCAAAGCATGGAGAGGGCTGGGCCTGAGCACTACTACTGCAAATAGGTCAGAGGCAAGATTCTGTATCTAAACCCAAGGAAGATAAGCTCCCAAGGGGCCCCATAGAAATGATAGGAAGTAGGAAAAACAAGACCTCATTCCTAAGTAGTAGCTGCCAGATTTGGAGGGTCTGCTTAAGTTGGAAAAGGATACAATTCGTACTTCATAGAGTGCCCACTTCTGCTTTAAGAACTCAATGAGGCTGGAGACTTTTCGATGTAGTTCCACGATCATCCTATGAGAATGACAAAAGGGAAGTTGTTATAGTAGGAAGGCCACTCTTGGAACAGCTGTAAGGGCTGCCTGAACTGAATCCACATGGCAGATAAGTAGACACTGGAAGGGGGATCTATAAGCCCTTTAGCTCCTTTTCCTAAATACCAGTCCTGTCTGCTGAGATCACAATAGACTCATATAAATCTGTAAGTAACACTCTTTCCAACACAAGTGCTTGGTCAAGATGTGAACATTTGATACATTAGTGCTTTGTGTGCTCAAGGGTGGGGCTAGCTAGCCCTGATTAGCCCTAAGAAAACAGAATGCACACATGGACAAGATGAAGCACTGGCACATGCTATAATGGAGATGACCCTCAAAACCAATAGATGCCAGATAGTGCAGGCTCATGTGTGTTCCCATTAACATGAAATGTCCAGAAGAGGCAAATCCACTAAGATAGAAAGCATCTGAGAGAGAAGCAAGCAGTAGAAAGAGGGACTGCTAACAGGGACATGGCTATGGGGTGATAAAAATATTCTAGGAGTAGACTGAGATGAATGTTGCAAAACACTGTGACATACTGCCACTTAACTGTAAACTTCCAAGTGTAAACTAATAGCTCATCGATGTATGAATTTTACCTTAGCTTAACAAACCTTGTAAATGAGAAATGGTCCATAGGCATGGTGGTGCTTGTGCACAAATTGGCAAATTTCCAGGAAATGAGAAAGGATGGTAGACACTTCTTTTTTTTTTTAATTATTATTTTTATTTTATGTGTATGAGTATATTGCCTCCATGTAGGTAAGTGCACCTGTGTTGTGCAAAGGGATGGTAGAAGCTTTATAGGAAAGACTAAGATTCTGCAAACACTTGATTATCTCAACAAAACATCCTTTATTTGGCCAAATTTCCCTGCCTGATAGAACTGCAGTTCAGCGTGTTCAAGATCTCAAGACCACTCTCAAACTCAGAACATTCTCATGACAGTGCTACCCCACACCCTACCCTCATATGCTATCAGGTACTGGGCAAAATATGCTTTTCTGGGATTCCCTAAGAGAAACCCAAACACCAACTCTCAAACCCTATCAAATAATTGGGAGCTTCCTCATGCCAAAGTCTACATCACCTGAGGCGTGGATTCTGGGCCAGGCTTTGCACGCGTGCCCAGGCATGGTTATTCCGGGGCTGTAGCTCTAGAGGGACTTTCAGAGGTAGGCGTACTGGCTTCTGGTCCTCTTCATCACTCAGACCTGAGAACAGGAAACCATGGAAGTTCAGTGCTGACCAATCTCAAGGTAGAAAGCAAAATACTTTACTAGAAAACCAAAGGGAAGAGAAAACTGTTGAGAGAATGCCTTATACCTGGAAACATGAAACCTAAGAAAGAGTCAAACTCAACATGGTAAACTGTATACTTGCAAAGGCAAACCCACAGATGGGCCACCAGGTAGGCATGAGTGGTGACCTCATCCCTGACAGCACTGGTCCTTCTGTCAAAATGCTACCACAGCTTCTTAGTAAACATAATGCTGTCACAGAAGCACTTCAAGAACTGTCCATATGACAAGGTTAAATAGAGTGAATCACAAAGCACTATAGCCTGCCTATCATGGAATGGGACAAAACAACCATGGGAGCTCTAATACATGCCAGCCCCTTCCTTTCCCTGACCACCTACCATCTGGATCACAGAGTTTCTTCAGGGCGCGGCACATGGGTGCTTTGATCCGCAGGTTTCTCCCTTTGTAACGTACAGTGGTGGCCCTGGAAAAAGAGTTTGGAAGAAATGTTGAGGCCTTCAAGTAGATGAAAAGAAACAAAGGGGTTGGCAGGTCAGAAATGCAGTCAAGAGAGTTTGTTAGGCATCCAGCCCTATACTGTGCCTACACAGCCAAACATGGTCACCCTGGCTGGTAGACAGAAGTAATTTCTCTGGATATCTGCAACTTCCCTGACCAGAGGACATGTGCTGTTTAAAGGAAATAAACTGTGCTCAATGTGTCGCTACCGAATGTCACATCCATCTAAGCCCACAACTCAGGAGCTGTCTATTCTCTGCTTGCCCTATTTCCATCTATCCTGCTACCCATTCACTAATCTATCCACCATATGCCCCTACCCATCCATGGACCAACTGTTTCTCTGTGCTAGACAGAAAATGCAGAGCTGAGACTTAGAAAACCTGGCCAAAGGGGCAAGACAACCCCAAGAAGAAAGGTGGCATCCCTTATCCACTTTCTGCTTGGAGGGATCATTCATTAAGAATAAGTCTCTAAGCAACAACATATTCTATTAAGTCAAAATTAATTTTATTTAATTATTTGTTTTTATTTTATGTGTATGAGTGTTTTGTCTGCCTTTATATAGTGTACCATGTGCATACAATGCCCCAAAGAGGTCAGAAGAGGGTGTCAGATTCCCTGGAAATGGAGTTATGGACAGTTGTTAGCCATCCTGTGGATGCTGGGAACCGAACACAATTCTTCTGCAAGAATACCCTGTGCTCCTTAACCATTGAGTCATCTCTCTAGGTTCCAAAGTCAAATTCTTGAATTAACTTATGCCAGGTGAAATACACTAATGAAAAGTGTTACAGAAATTCTATTAGTGATAATGGAATAGGGCTGCAGGAGGAGGAACCAAGACAAATAATATAAAAAGTACTAACAAGCCGGGCGTGGTGGTGCACGCCTGTAGTCCCAGCACTTGGGAGGCAGAGGCAGGTGGACCTCTGTGAGTTCAAGGCCAGCCTGGCCTACAAAGTGAGTTCCAGGATAGCTGGGGCTACAGGGAGACCCTGCTTCAAAAAGAGAAGAAAAAAAAAAAAGTACTGATAAAGCATGCAACTTCCTTTACTAAGAGCTCTTAGAAGGAGTAGGAGTTTTTCTTTTCCTTATTTTGATTTTTTTTTTTTTAAATGTTTTTGAGCCAGGGCCTTACTACATAGCCCTGGGTGACCTGGAACTCAGAGAGATCTGCCTGCCTCTGCCTTCTGAGTACTGGGATCAAAGGCATGTGCCACCATGCCAGCCCTCAATTTTTTTTTGTTTTAATATTTCATTTATTTTTACTTTTGTGTATGAGTGTGTTGCCTAAATGTATGTGAATGCATCATGCAATCCCTCAGAGGTCAGAAGGCATCAGATTCCCCTGGAACTGGAGTTAAGGATGGTTCATAACAACCATGTGGGTGCTGGGAATCAAACCCGGGTCCTCTGCAAGAGCAGTCAATGCTCTTAACCACTGAACCATCTCTCCAGAACCTCAATTTTTAAAAAATATTTATTTTGTGTGTATGCATGTTAACATGATGTTATATGTGACAATCAGAAGACAGCTTGCCACTTCATTCTTTCCTTCACAGACCAAGTGAATTCTAGGAATCGAACTCAGGTTGTCAGGCGTAGTGGCAAGTAGCTTTACACACTCAGCTATCTCATAGACCCCCCCAAGAAAATCATCAGCTTTTCTGCTCATAACTTTTTATTGTACTTGCCCATAATAGAAATAAGATGTTAACAGTAGGTGAAACTGTCACATGGCACCCAATATTATAATAATATTGTAATAATATTACAATTATTACAATAATAATGGATTCTATTACACTGTTACATTGTGACATCCTTTAATTTCCTTTAGGGAAGTTGAGTGCACCCCCCACTTTTGCTAAGTAAACACTCTCTAACAGCTAGGGCACTACATAAGGTCATGGGTCACATTCAAGTTCACAGGTGAGAACTCCTCACCAACACCACCACTGGCAGGTGACAGCCCAGGGCACAGAGGTTGAAAAGAATGGAAAGAGCCTGAGCTCTCCTTGAAAACAGAACATACAGAGTTCCATTCAAGAACTTGGAGGGACCACTGATAACAGACAGCAGTGTGGTTTCCTGGTTCCTTTCTGATATGAGATTTATTTTCTTCTCCACAAAGTTACTGAATAAATCTAATAAGTACATGCTCCATTCAATGCTTCTGGGTTTATGAACAATGTAATAGGATTTCATTTAGTTTAGAGTTTTTGTCAATTCATTTACTCTTTAATTTTCTAATTCTATAACTCAATGGAGATTCACAATTGAAAAAGGTAGACAGGAAGTTAAATACTATAATTACTTTTATTTTTAAATCAAGAGAAGCAGTCTTCTACCTTTGCTTTGTTTTGTTTTTTGTCCTTAAAAACCAAAGTTGGGGGGCTAGAGAGATGACTCAGCGATTAAGAGCACTGACTGCTCTTGCAGAGGACCCAGATTAGATTCCCAGCACCCACATGGCGGCTACAAACCGTTGTCTTTAACTCCAGTTCCAGGGGAGTCTGAAGCTTTCTTCTGACCTCTGCAGACTGCATGGCACAGGTGCACTCATACATGCAGGCAATATATTCACACACATAAAATAAAAATAAAAATAATAAAATAAAAAACAAAAGCAAAGTTGGGCTGGCCAAGGTGGTGCATGTCTTTAGTCCCAGCACCCAGAAGACAGGCAGGTAGATCTCTGTGAGTTTGAGACTAGCCTGGTCTACAAATTGAATTCTAGCCCATTCAGGACTACATAGTGAATATTTGTCTCAAAAAACCCAAAACATAAAAAATAAAAAATCTAAAGTTTGTTAAGAAATGAATGAACACATTCATCAATGGGAGAAACAGAATTGGAGCAGATCTCTGAGCTGGAGCATGAGTGCCCAGCTGAAGGAAGCAGTCCTCAAATGGAACTTAAACAAGATACCCACAGCCAAAAATGAACCTTGGGCTACAGTTCATATCCTAAACAAAAATTAACTCAAAGTGTATTATAAACTTAATATAAAACAATAAGCCTATAAGAAAATACAGAGGAATAGCTTTGACTATGGGTTAAAGAAGAGTTCAGAGATACCACACAAAGCACAAACAACAAAAGTCGATGACAGACAAGACTTTATCAAATGAAAAATATTTGTTCTTCGGAAGACAATGACAATGAGAAGGAATTTGTAAATTTTTTAAAGTAAGTTTTTGCTAATTTCATAGTATTTTTTCTTTCTTGGTTTTTAAAGATAGGATCTCCCTGAACCCCTAGCTGGCCTTGTAGACCAGGCTGGCCTTAAACTGCAGGGATTAATGGCCTGTACCACCACACCTGGCAGCAATGAGAAAGAAAGAGCAGGAGCAGGGACAGAAAATATTTATGTAGAATATCACACTTTTTTAAAATTTATCATGTTTATTTTATGTGTATGCATGTATTGCCTCCATGTAGGTAAGTGCACCTGTGTAGTGCAATGCCCGCAGAGGTCAGAAGAGGCTGTCAGATCCCCTGGGACTGGAGTTACCAATAATTGTTAGCTGCCATGTGGGTGCTAAGGATTCAAACCTGGGTCTTCTGCAAGAACAACCAGTGTTCTTAACCGCTGAGCAATCTCTCCAGCCCCAAATATAACACTCTTAATTCAGTAAGAAAATGGGTACAAGATTTAAACAGGCACTTCATGGAAGAAGATGCACAAGTGTTAGCAAGTAAACACATGATCAATGTTCAATGTCACTGATCAAGCAAATGCAAATCAAAGTCACAACAGGATGTCATTTCATACCCATTTGCACATCTCAGAAGAATGCACAAACTGAAAATACCAAGTCCTTGGGAATATGGGAACAAGTTGGCCAGGCTCTGGAAGGCAGTTGGGCAATTCCTTATAAAAACAGACAAATGTTTCTATCTCTTCTCTTCTTGGGGGGTGCCCAGGTGAAATGAAAACCATGCTCACATGACAGCCTCATGGTTCAAACCTGGAGTCAGTTTTTCATAAGCACTAAAAAACCCTAAATAACCTAGTATGCCTCAGAGGACAGATCACCAGATAGACATGCCCATGCTACTATCCTAGTGGGCAGGAAAGAACAATGAACTGTGGGCTCAAGGCAATACCCAAGTGCTACCTATGTACACTGCTCAATGGGAGAGGCCAACCTCAGAGGTTACACGATGGTTCCAATCAGACGACTATGTAGAAAAGGCAAATCGCCAGGGTATATAGTGCAGCACTGATGGCCTGGGGCAGGAAATGAATGCTGGACCTGTTCTGCCTTGAACAAGTGAGTGGTAGAGGTCAATCCAAATAGGCTGATTCCAACCAGAACCTTGGGGGAAAGCAGACCTCCAAAACAGTAAAGGACTGAAATTTGCCATGGCCAAGGGAGGGAGAGACAAACAGCAGGGAAATAGATTCTGAGGGGAGGAAAAGTACTCCAAAAGAGAATGTAGTGATCTGTCACTGAGCGTCTGTCCAACTTTATAGATATCTGACACCAAGAACTGTAATGTAAACCACAGTCAGCGATGATGATGTGTCAGAGGTATCAAAAATGTCTTTCTTAGACCAGGCTGGCTTCAAGCCCAAGAGCCTCCTGCCTCAGACTTCTGGTGCTGGCTTTTCTGGAAAAGGATACCTGGCTCATCAAGTCTAATGATATTTTGGGCAATACCAGGAATGGAAACCAGGGCCTGGAGTAGGATCTTCAGTTCTTTTATACAGTTTCCTTGTAAACCTAAAACTACTCTAAAACATAAAGCCTATCAAATTCAACAGAGCAAAACAAACCCCTAAATGCCAAAATTATAGAACTACATGCCAAAAAGTAAAAATATGTAAAATACTGAACACCAAATGGATGTCTATAAACACCACTCCTAATATATACCCCAAGCTTAACTTTCCAAAAGAGGCAGTGGATAATTTACCCAAGGGAGTAGCTTTACCTACTCCAGCTTCCTGAAACACCCAGAGATCACTGAAGCCCGGTGCCATGTAAGAAAGGGCCCAACCCAAACTACCAAACTCGAGCCTACATCTGGTCTCTACTCTGTAGCCACTGTAGTCACCTTAGTTCCCTCCTTTGTACCTTCTGGCCTAAACATCATGACCTCAGAAAAGTTGTCTCTAGATATCCAGGATAGGTTCCCTTCTTGTTACCCACAGCGACCTACCCTATGCATTTCAATGTAATGTTCTACACACACACACACACACACACACACACACACACACAGAAAGGGCGGGCATCTGAGAAAGAAACGTATCTGAGAGAGATGCATCTGAGAGAGAAAGAGATGTATCTGCTGTCATACCAGAGCAGCCTCTACTCCAGCACTCACCCTCATGCCAGCATACAGACATTTTAGCTATTTCCAAAGAGTGACTGAGCACACTGCACAATCTTTCTGCCTGGGCATAACCAGAGTTGCAGACAGAATTCTCTGTACAAGCTATGAGAGCACCATGGTATATTGTAGAATAGTACCATGTGAGGTGCTGGAGCCAGAGAGCCAAGTAAACCCCTCAAGTATGATGGGGAGATACCCACCAGGCTTTCTAGTGCCACTAAAAAGCTTCCCTGGGCCTCACTCAGAAAGTAGCCTAGCCAGGTATCAGTGCTGCCCCTCCGTGCTGTGAGCTGTAATTCTTGCTGGCATGAAAGCTCATAACACTGGCATCAAGGGCCTTCTGTAGTCACTTGCATGTCTGTTACAGGTAGGTGCTATAGTAGGGCCAGGTGAGTCTCACCGAGACTTGCCTCATTAAGAAACACCCAGCTGGGTCTGCAACTGTCTAGCAATATAGCCACATAAGGCACATAGGATCCAGGAATACTGTCAGCCTCTGCTGCCATCTCCATTTCCCATTTGATTCTCAGAGGAAGGGATGCACATATAAGTGTCACCAAAAGGTTGAATCCGACTCATAGTATATTTCAATGCTGTGGTCCACCCACCCACTTGCTGTCTATGAATGTAAGGTGATCCCAATCTAAGATATATACAAATGACACCCTACCCCTAAGTACTTTTAGTGTGGGTCTCTCGTTCTCCAGAGTCATAATGTACATTCAGCAGAGAAAAACAATACTGAGAAACACTCAGTCCACAGTCACACTGTCACATTATTTGTCCTTCAAGATCCTCTGCAACTGATTCTTTTTTCCCTTTTCAGTACTGGGGCACACGCATGCTAGGGAAGTTTCTCTTCTTTCTTGCTCAAAGAATTTCCTTAACAAGTATCTTGTCTCTGAATCTAAAGAAAGCTACACTGTGATCATCTACAGATAGTGGGAAGGAAATCTGGTGCTTAGATGCCTCCTGGGGACTACCTGCTACATGCACAGGCTGAGTAGCACCAGTCTGTGCTGTACCCCACTGGCCTTCCCTCAGCACTGAATCTGCATTTCCAAAGGTCCCACCCATCTCATGCCTGGTTTATGACGACAAAGCAAAAGGCACAGAACAAATGGCTTTCACTCAGTGAATTCTGACATAAGATCAAGGGAGATTTGTCCCCCAGGATCAAATTACAGGAGCGGTACTATCATTCATTAGGACACTTCTTATCTATAGGTAATAACATAACAATGGAAACCTTCTCAGCACAGGAGTTTCAGCCTTCCCCCAAAAGACTTTTTTGACAGGTAAACTGCTCAGCCTTGCAAAAGAAGCAAGTGAGAAGAGGGAAGAAGGCAGGGCTTTAAGTTCCAAATGATGACACAAGCAAGTCAATCTTGCCCTTAATCTCCCCGAAAGGACAGTTGGCAGTTTCACTTCCTGAAAGCCTCTAAATGTATCTGAGATAAGGTCCACTCCAAGAACTTCCACTAGTTTTTAAGGCAACTTGGCAACTCTGGCAGGTCACAGTTCTTTCCTATACAGGGATTCAATCTAGTTCCTGCTAGGCCTGACTTCCATAGGGCCATCCATTCAAATAAAGGCTCTGCTTAGGAAAAACATAGAGGAAAAATACAGAGCTGAACACCAGGTGCTCACTCCAATAGGCATAACACCTAGGAATTAAAAGTTCAGGACTGGGCTGGAGGGATGGCTCAGTGGTTAAGAGTACTTAACCTCTTGCAGAGGACCCAGGTTTGATTCCCAGCACCCACATGGCTACTAACAATCATCTGTAACTACAGTTCTAAGAGATCTGAAAGCCCTCTTCTGACCTCCATGGGCGTGGCACAACACGAATGCACCTACCTACATGCCAGCAATACACTCATGCACATAAAATAAAAATAATAAAGTATTTTTTAAAAAGTTTAGGCCTGTGAGAGAAGTGGAAGAGAAAGTACCAGAGGTGCAGGAAAGCAATGTCCCAAAAGAGAGGAGACAGAAATTGTTATTTTCACAATAGCTAGAAAAGTTGAAAGCAGATCAAAAGTCCAGGGTTCAGGGAGCTGGAGAGATGGCTCAGTAGTTAAGAACACTGGTTGTTTTTACAGAAGACCCAGGTTCGAATCCCAGCACCCACATGGCAGCTAACAACTGTCATAACTCCAGTCCCAGGGGATCCAACAGCCTCTTCTGACCTCCGTGGGCATTGCATGACACGGGTGCATTTACCTACATGCAGGCAATACACGCATACACATAAAAAAAATTTTTTTTTAAAAGTCCAAGGTTCAGAGTCAGTTGATGGGTTGAAGGGGATGGAGGGGATAGCCAGAAGATCAGCAGCTTTCACCAAACATAAAATCTTGACGATGTAGCTGGCAGTAGTAGAACTGGGTATTGCAGTGTGGCACAATAAGCAGAAGCAGCAGCAGCAGAGTAACCCCCAGGACTGAGGGCAGAGATGAGAAGATGGAGAAGTATAGGTAACTTGGAACACATGGATCTGCAGGACTTCCAACCTTCCAGTCAAGTGAAGATTCAGGGCAAGATACTCAGCATAGGAACAGGACAGGAGACTGGGCTTTCATGTGGCAATATTTATAACCAAGAAACAAAACAAGAGGACTGATCTCTACCATGAAAAGAGACAGAGGGCTCAGGAAAATTGAAGCAGCCACATGTAGAAACAGGCCGTAGGGCAGTTGTGAAGAGACCACAACAGGATAGGCGTGGAACAGGATATCAAAACCTTGCTGGCCTGTGTACCAAATTCAGAGATAGGAGAACTCAAGACTCAAAGGCTTTGACTATGTCATCCAGGCCAGCTGGTACACAGTGGCAGGTCATGGAGGAAACTTGAGGACCAGGCAGTGTGCTACTAACACACTCAACCCTGGTGCAGATCATATCTCTGGAACAGAGAAGGTCAAAAACAGCTGAACAGAACTTGACAGCTTGTGACACCGTGAGAATAAAAGCTTTTGAAGTCAGGAGTAGAGAGTCAGATTAAGGGCAAGAAGGAAGAAAGGCCAGCTGAAACAGCACAGGGGCTAGCACATGGAAGCACTCAGGTGAGAGGAAAAGTCGAGTGTCTGGCCATGTCTACACCCAACTATAGGCAAGGGCTGGAGTGGGGAACATCATCTGTGGGAACAAAAACATACACCTAAGAGGACAGTAAGAGGTTTTAAACTCTATGGGTCTTCATCAAGAAGACCCAAAACAGAGGGCCTGTAAGATGGCTGGGCAGGTAAAAGTGCTTGTTATGTGTCCTAGTTAGTTTCTCTTGTCAACTTGGCACAACCAAGAATTACCGAAGAGGGAACCTCAACTGAAGATTTTCCAGGTCAGACTGGCCTGTGGCTGTATCTGTGAATTGTCTTGACTGATGACTGATACGGGAAGGCCAAGCCCACTATGGGCAGAACCATCCCTGGGCAGGTGGGTCTGGGGTATATAAGAGGCAGCTAAGCAGAAGCCAAGGAACAAGCCAGGAAGCAGTGCTTCCTCCATGGTTTCTGCTTGAGTTTCTGACTTCTCCCAATGATGGATCGTGACCTGGTAGCATAAGTCAAATAAACACTTTCCTCCCCTAAACTGCTTCTGCTCATGGTGTTTATCACAGCAACGGAAAGCAAATCAGAACACTGTGAAAGCCTGACTACCTGAGTGCAATTCTTGGAACCCACAGAGGAAGGAGAAAATTGACTAACGAAAGTTGTCTTCTGGCTGCCACATGAGCACCGTGATACACATGACTACACTCACATACACATACATAATAATAAATTAAAGAAAAAGAAAACAGAGGAAAATAACTCACATTTCAACTTCTGCATTTCAGTGAATGAATGTAAGCACACACACAGTGACTTGTACTTACCCAACTTGAATGAGTTCATTCAACTTTGTTGCATTCTTGTCATCCATACCTTTAAATGACAAGAAAAATAAATGAGTCTATGGGTTAGTTTAGGAGCAAAACAATTACAAATTCCTCTATGACTACCTTCCACACAGACTTCAGATCCTGCTACTGAATAGTCTACATCTTCTAGAATAAAGCCTCTGCAGTAGCTGCAACCACTCAAAAGTTAACCAGCACCTTAGCTGTACCACATAGCCTCTTCCTAACCAGTTTCTCAACAGTTTAGCAAGGTCCCTGCTGTGCCACTATTCACCCAAATTTGCAGGTTCTGACAAGTGCTTCCTCTAGGTACTACACTAGGCCCTGGGCCTGCTTTCCCTGATGATTGGAGAATGACTCACGGGTGTATGCAAATTTGAATCCCCAGAACCCTAGGACCTGTTAAATGAGGACACTAATGTCTCTGCCCCCATCACTGTCCTTAAGATGCATAGGAGAGAAAGATGATAAGCTATTATGAAAACTCAGGCAGGGGCCCTTGGGTATTTACCATAAAATTTCAAAACAATACCACACGACTGAGGAGTAATGGGACCACACTCAGCCAGGCTAAGAACCAAGAAATAAGTACAAAATTGTAAAAGCAGCCAGAAGGCCTAGAAAGATGGCTCAGCAGTTAGGAGCACTGGCTGCTCTTGCAGAGAACCCAGGTTCAGTTTCAAGCATCCACATGGTGGCTAACAACCATTCATAACTCCAGTTCCATGGGCTCCAACACCCTCTTCTGACATCTGCAGGCACTGCATGACATGTGTGCACTTACATTACATGCAGGCTATATATCCATACACATTAAAAAAAAAAAAGCATGGAGGCAGAAGCAGGCGGATCTCTGTGAGTTCCAGGCCAGCTGGGACTGCAGGGAGACCCTGTTTCAAAAAGATTAAAAAGAAAAAAGTAATCAGATACACTGTACCTCTGAAAGACCCAAAGTACTCCCTATTATTACATGTACCAGACACTGGAGAGTAGTATAAACATGATGAGAAAAAAAACTAATTATATCAGAATTCTACCTCTGGTAAAACTTCCTTTTAAGAATGAGAAAACAAGGCTTTTCAGATGAAAAGTAAGTAAAAGGATTCACTGACGGTGCAACTATATCACAGAAAATAAAAGAAGCTCTCAGCCTAAAGAGAAAGGCCCAGATGGAAATGAGCTTTCAAAACAGGAGGAGAAGCATTGGAAAGGGCAAATGCTGACATGTTCCTTTAAAAGCCCTTAGATGGGTGCTAAGCTCTCTCCCTGTACCACCATAGCACATGTAAGGTATAGAACACTCCAGAGTTTAAGAGGAAACCCAGTCTCTGGGGCTGGGGACACAAGCTCAGATCTGCAGGAGCAAAGGGGTTAATGGAAGGGAGGCTACAGAACGAAAAAGGCCCCACAGTCATGTGTCTGGCTAGTTCTACAGAGAAAGGTCTAGGGGTAGTACCTGAGTGAAGAAGGCTAAACTCATCACACAGGGCTTATGAGCCATGTTCTGAAAGGAACAAAGAGAGGAGAAGGAAAGATAGCTCTGGGCTTCACCTCCAGGAGATGCCTCTTTGTTGGTATCACAGGCTAAGATGAATAGCCTTGAGGTGGGGTCAGGCAAGGGCCCATTTTGACCTACCCAGGACTGAGGTTCCTGTCATATGCTGGCTCAGGTAGATAGTTATGGTGGGAACAAAGCAATGTAACCATTTTATACATAGATGACTTTGTATGTGGCACAGTAGTCCTGGCCACTAACTTGAAAGTCACTTGGAGATGTTCTAAAGACTTTGAAAACAGGTGGGAAATTGGTAGACTACTGCACTTTTTGACAGGTGTGAAATGGCTTGGTGCCACCATGACAGGTAGTGTGCAAAGGCGTCTATTTCAAATAACAGGGATGAAGTCTTCAGATGGTGTAAGAAATCACAGTCAATGCCTGTAATATCAGTACTCCAGAGGCAGAGGTGGGGGCGGGGGGACGGATCTCTGTGAGATCAAGGCCAGCCTGGTCTACACAGCAAGTTCTAGGCCAGCTGAGGCTAAAAGGAGACCCTGTCTCAAAAAGACCAAAAAAAAAAAAAAAAATCAGAGTCAAATGACAGTGAGGAAAAGTGCACCTGTGTAACAAGTGGAAAGAGTGAACAAACATTAATGAATGAATGGTAGATTAGGTGAAGGCATAGTCCTTATTTTCCTTTTCACTTTCTAGAATTACCAAAAAAATTTTCAAGATAAAAGTTGGAGGAAAAACAAACATTCCTACATACTAAAGATCACTGGTGACAAGGACAACAGCCCACTAGGGTGATTCAAGAACAGCAGCGGTACTCACAACCCCCAATCTTCTTGCGTAGCTCGCCATAGCAAATAAGGCCATATAGCTCCTGGGATGATTTCTTCAGCCCTCGAGAGAACACTGGAAGACAAGAGAAAAACAAAAGTTAGGCAGGGGGACAGAGACACCACAGGTATAAGAACGTGTACAAGAATGACACTGGAAAAGCACTCCTAAGAGGCTGAGGCTGATCACATGTGGATCACGGCACCTTGGGCATGCTATTGCTGACTGCTGGAGAAATTGGCAAAGGATACACAGGAGCACAGTGTTGTCTAGACAATGTTCAAAGTAAAAATTTAAATTAAAAAAGAGGGGTGTGGTCTAAATATTACTCTTGACAGGTAGAGCAAATGTCCCCTAGAGAAAAAAATGGCTTGGTCAGCAGGGTGGGTTCTCATAGAAAGGGGGGGAAGAGCTACATGAGGGTATCATCACACCTTTCAGCATAGAGTCGCCCTCCCCCCCCCAATGCAGGTGAGCCAGCAGACTGGATCCTGAGAACTCACCTTCCTACCTGCCATTATATCCGCCCAACCTAGCTGACAATGGATGTACATACAACAAGCCCCCTCCCAACATCCATCCTTCCACCACACCAACAGGCACCAGCTTTATATTTAGCAAGCAAACAAGCAGGGACTCGGTTTAATACAGAACCATAGAGGTGTGTATGAGATGAGAATCCATAGGTTTTAGGAAGCTAAGGTGGGGCAGGGTGCAGTAGTGCACAACTCTAATCCCAGTGGTCCGGAAGCAGGAGGATCTTTGTGAGATCAAGGCCAGCCTGGTCTACATAGCATTCCAGGTCAGCTGGGGTGACAAGAAAACCATGTCTCAAACAAACAAACGAAGCTGAGGTAAGTAGAAGCTCCATGTAAGTTTAAGTACATGGGTATTTTGCCTACATGTGTGTAAGCACATCATATACATGCCTAGTGCCCACAGAAGCCAGAAAATGTCACAGCCCCTGAAACAGGAGTTATAGAAGGTTGTGAGCCACAATATGGGTGCTGGAACCAAACCCAGGAAGAAGCATCTGTACCTCAGAGCTATGAACAGTACTCAAGTTTGCACCATCCTCAGTGAAGAACTAGACACAATCATCACACAAGGAATCTGGTCTCTCCACATTTCACCCACAAAAGTCTTCCAACTATAACTCACTGGTCATCTCAATGGAGAATTGTCAAGAGCAGCCTGAGCAAATTCTGTCTTGGAATGGCTTTCAGAACTTAAGAGTTCAAACAAAAGAAAAATAGTCACCCAGGCAGTGGCTCTGGAAGATACAGGTGGTTTCACTATAATGTGACATGAACCAAGACAGTCTTGGACCTCAGGGGACCAAACTATACTGAGGTATGTAAAAAATCTAGTGATAGAACACACAGCAGTGGTAGCAACAACTGTAAAAGAATGAAATAGGGTTGACTTGAAGTCTGCAGAAAATCTTATGTTGATGGTCATTTGGATGCTGGAAGAAAACACATGGCATTGGCAACACCTAGAGATCAACTAGGGGATGCCACCAAGATGTGGTGATGGACAATCCAAACCCAGGTGTCTCTAAAGATGGACAGACCAGAGGAGGAGGATGTGTGACCTCACAGAGCTCTGCTTAATCAGTCAGATGGGGAAACAGGCATTTTTTGTTGTTGTTGTTTTTCTTTTTTTTTAATTATTTTTTATTTTTTATTTTATGTGTATGCGTGTATTGCCTGCATGTAGGTAAGTGCACCCATGTCGTGCAATGCCCATGGAGGTCAGAAGAGGCTGCTGGATTCCCTGAGACTGGAATTATGGACAGTTGTTAGCTGCAATGTGGGTGCTGGGATTCGAACCCTGGTCTTCTGCAAGAACAACCAGTGCTCTTAACCACTGAGCCATCTCTCCAGCCCCGCAGGCATTGTTTTTTACAGTTACAGTAACATGATGCAAATCATGGCCCAAATACTGTAACCTGGCAGAGGGGACACCACAAGAATGGTAAAGACCAGGAATGTGGAAAGCCAACACAAAAGATAAACAGAGCTCAAGGAGAAGAACATAGTGGCCACAGATCTATGACTCCTAGGTCAGAAAGCTTAGTATCTGGAGAGAAGAAATAGAAGTGAAGGTGTTTTAAAAGCAAGTGTCTCTAGAATGAGTCCACTCTGCAGGAAGCTGCAGAACTGCAAAGCAAGACTCAGCAGGCTGGGACCAAATAAGTATAGGGAGAAGCTGTTCTCCAGAAACATTTGGACTAAGGAGATGGCTAAGTTTTACAGACAAGAACAGTAATTGGGACAGTGATTAGAATGTCAACCAAGTGTCACTAGAAAGGCAGTCCATCAAAGGTGCGTAAGCCAGAAGTCAGAAATGCACTTGGAGATGACCCAGTTACTTCACTGAAGATGGACTGGATTGTGAAAATCTTGACTACAACCTACATGATCAAATTTCTGGCAAAGCAAGCATCCACCCCCAGTAGAGCAGCACAATTCAGGCTTTCTTGTGTATCCATAGCTCAACTCAATTCACAAGACTTCAGTACCCAAACTCATAGGGAACCCAGAACCCATACATACTCAAACTCACTGAAACACACAAAACTCAAATAGTAGTAAGGTCTCTGGAGCACAGATACAAGCAACTTCCTCACAATTAAGTTTGATCAATAGGTACTAGGCATGCCACCAACCAGTCTTAGGAGGCAAGCCCCATGATGAGCAGCTTAGTGAGGACAATGCCACAAAGAGTGGGGAATGGGTGTTTGCATGAAAAGAAGCCAACTCCACCTGGTAGCCTCCTGGAGGCTGAACACTCACCGTTGTCAAAGTCAATGTACTTGGTAATCTTGTGCCAGGTGCGATAGTAAAAATGCCGAACCTGTTCTTTGTTCTTCACCATGCTTGCAGGCTTGCCCTTCTTCTTGTACTTTAAAGCGATATTGTTCTGAATGGCTTCAAAGTCTTTTCCATGCTAGAAAATAAAATATTGAAGCATAGCAGTTAAAATAAATCAACTTTCTTTGTGATATAGGCACCATCAAGAAATGTAAAGGGACCAGCTATGAATAAGCAGGTTGTTCTTCAAAGTACTTCTGTATATATGAACTCCAACTTTGCTTCCTTAGAACCTCAAGCTTTAATTAGAATAGAGAAGCAACAGAACTCATGGACAGAACTACCCCATTCCAGGACACCTGAAGTCTGTACGTGCATAACAAAGATCTGAAAAAAACACAAATTGGGGGGGAGGGGTCGCATGCCAGAGGCAGGTGGATCTCTGTGAGTTCAAGGCCAACCTGGTCTACATAGCAAGTTCCAGGCCAGCTGGAACTGGGCTACAGCGAGACCCTGTCTCAAAAAAAGAAAAACAAAAACCCTATTATTATTTTAATTTTATGTGTTTTGTCTGCATGCATGAAAGTGCAGCAATACCTATGCTGGTTCTTTGCATGATAGAGAACCAGGTTTGGTGGTCTCATGAAAACCATCTAGTAACAAGTACTGAGAAGTTCCGGTGGCAATGGTACCCCAGGACCCAGATCTGAGTTTATATATTGTTTTTTAAATAGTAGCAGGTCATTCTAAAGAAACTGGTGGTATCAGGGATGGACAGGCAGTGTGCCAGATGAGCGTGGAATGCCCAGATAAATGGGTATCCAAAATGAGAAGTCACTCAAGAAGCAACAGGCTTCAATTTATATCTGTATCACATGGGCACAAAATGAGTGATGTGAATGGATAATGACCCCAAAATTAAACTAGACCCCTGAAGTCCGTATGTGCATAACAAAGATCTGACAAAAACACAAATGGGAGAAGGAAAGGCCCTTCTTTGAAAGAGATCTCTAGCTCTCAGAAGTAGAGAGATCAATGGAAACAAGACTGTCACTGGGCAAACTCCATGGTGATTAATGTGTCAAGTAAGCAGCAGCCAGGCTGCTCAAATTCGTGTAAGAAAGAATGAGAAACGGGGTATTTGGTTCCTCAAGCAAAACAGAATAGTCTGGAACGTGCCATCTGAAAACACTGGTCCAGGCCAGCATCACAACTACAACACAGCTCATCATGTTTCTCTAGGCTGGATATACCAAGGACCCATAACTGGCAAGGAATTTTATTTTAGTTGTTTTAATTTTTTTAAAATTTGTTTATTTAATATGTATGAGTGTATTGCCTGCATGTATGTAAGTGTACCCATGTCATGCAGTGCCTGCGGAGGCAGGAAAAGGGTGTTAGATCCCCTTGAACTAGAGTGATGAATGGTTGTTAGCTGCCATGTGGGTGCTGGGATTCAAACCTGGGTCTTCCGTAAGAACAGACAGTACTCTTAATTGCTGAGTCATCTCTCCAGCCCTGTTTTAATTTTTTTATTATATTTTTCTAATTCTGTGTGTATATACCTGTGTGTACAAGTGTGGAGGCTGGAGGATGACTTGTGGGAGCCATTCCTCTCCTTCCACCATACAAGTCCCAGGGATCCACCCAGGTCATTTGGATTGGTAGCAACCACTTTTACCTGCTGAGCCATCTCAGCCAGTCTAAGTTTGTTGAGTCATGGTCTCAGGTAGTCTAGAGACTGCAGTCAAGAATGACCTTGTGATCCTTACTCTACCTCCCAAGTGCTGAGATTACAAGCATATGCCTCCACACCTGGTTTTATGCAGTGCTAGTGAATGAACCCAGGCCATTGTGCATGCTAGCTAGGTACTCTACCAACTAAGCCATATCCCAACCCTGCCATGGAATTCTTGACAGAAATTGGAAGTGCTGACAAATCAAAACTAAAGAACATTCTACTTAGAAGGTGAGTATTGAAAAATGTCACTCATGGAAGGAAGAAAGTGGTGGGGGTAGGGACTAAGGTAGTGCTACAGTTACAGAAGACTTAGGAGTCACTGCAATGTGGGACCCTGCCCCAGAATCAGGAGACGGTGGGACTACCCAGCCACCAGGTGCCTCCTCTGCACTCCCTTTCCTTATTCCGCTTATCACACAGAAAGCAGGATGAAGAGCAAGGGGGAATGCCTTGTACATTTAAAAAAAATTTTGGGGGGAGCGGGTCTTTTTGAGACAGGGTCTCCCTGTAGCCCTAGCTATCCTGGAACTCACTATGTAGACCAGGCTGGCCCTGAACTCACAGAGATCCACCTGCCTCTGCTGGGACTAAAGGCACACACCACCCCGCCTGGCTGTACCTTCTTTAAATTTTTAAAATATTTATTACACTTATTTATTGTGCATGTTTTTTGGATGGAGGATGTACACGTGCAACTGCATGCATGTGGAGGTCAGAGGACAATTTGTGGAAGTCGGTTCTCTCCACCACATGAGACTCAGTGATAGAACTCAGGTCATCAGGCTTAGTGGTAAGTGCTTAACCATGAATCATTTCACTGGCCCTTCACAACAATTTTTAAGTCTGAAATTGTTTCAAAATGAAAAGTTAAAAAAAGTAGAAACATAAAACTGCTTTAAAAAGCTAATAGGAGGCAAGAACTGTGGTATACACCTGTAACTGCAGCTACTCGAAGGCTGAACCAGGATGGGAGTTCGAGGTCAGCCTAGGCAATACAGTGAGATCTAACCTTGCGTTAAAAAGACAAAAAACAAAGGCACATAATCATTAAAAGGCAAAGCTGGGTCTAGAACATCTCTTCTGTCTAACTGGGAGGCTATCCCCTCACCAACTGTCCCTGCCTTAAGACAGGAAGTAGATATAGACAATCTCACTGCTTTAAGGTTGACAGCCTCAGTTGTGGCTCCTGAGCACCAGCCCTACAGTCACCCTGTATATGCCTGTTTATAGTTCCCTGATATGACAGTAAACCACTGAAGGGGAGAGCCTAAAGAACCTCTGCCATTTCTAGAACCACTAAGGTTCCACACTCAGCTATAAAATTGATAAATAGTACAACAACAACAATTAGACCAAGTTGAAAAAGAAAATGATTTGAAGTCAATGGTGAAAATTCATAGTATTTACTCAGCAAAAAGCCAAAGATTCCCCCTGATGCCTGCCCATTCACAGGAGACTGAGCAGGTACAGACAGAACAAGGAGATGGAGGAGGTTTGAGGAACAGAGACAAGGCCTTCAGCAGTTCTTGATGCACTCAGTTAAACGAGGCTGGTCATGTTGTTACAGGGTAGGAAATTAAGCCCTGTATGGTTTAAAAGAATATATTTGGGGGCTGTTGAGCTTGCTCAATAGTTAAAGAGTACTCTTGCAGAGGACCTGGGCTTGATTCCCAGCACCCACATGGCAGCTAACAATTATCTGTTACTCACTTCAGGGGCTCTGATCCCCTTTTCTGGCTCCTCAGGCATTGCATGCCATGGGTGTACTTACATACACACAGGCAAAAACACTCAAGACACATAAAATAAAAAATGCATAAAATTTAGAATGATTTAGGGGCTAGAAAGATGGCTCAGTGGTTTAAGAGCACTGGCTGCTCTTACAGAGGACCCAAGTTCAGTTCCCAGCACCCACATGGAAGCTAACCACAGTTTGTAACTCCAGTTCCAAGGGATCTAATGCCATCTTCTGGCCTCCATGGGCATTTCACAACATGGGTGTACTTACATACACACAGACAATATATTCATACACATAAAATAAGATTAAAAAAATAATTTAAAAGACAGTCATACAGGCAAAAGGACAGATAGAAAACAAAATCAAAACTCAGTGGTAGGCTTTGTACTGAACCACTACTGCAATTGAAGGGACTAAGCCAAGGTCCAAGGTGCTATCTGCTCAGTGTTTGGCCCACCCCACACTAGTCAAATAGATGCCAAGGCCTCACCAAGACCCACCTACTTTTACTCAGACCCCAAATGAGACTAAGGGATGTGCACACACTCTTTCCCGCTCCCCATTTCTTGTACCAATAGTAGAAAGTATTAATATCATTCGTAGTTGGAGAGATGGCTCAGTGGATAAAAGCATTTGCTGCTCTTGCAGAGGACCCACTTCAGCGCCCACTTCAGGCAGTCCATAACTGCCTGTACCTCCAGTTCGAGAGGAACCAATGCACTCTTCTGGTCTCCAAGGGCACTGTATGAATGCAGTGTACAGACAGACAAGTAAGCACACATACACACAAATAAAAATTAAAAATTAATAACACTAACTTTAGGGCTAGAGAGATGACTCAGCAGTAAGAGCACTTGCTCTTCTAGAAGACCAGAGTTCAGCTCCCAGAGCCCACGTCAAGAATCTCATAACCGCCTGTAACTCTAGCTCCAGGGAATCTGACGCTCTCTCTGGTCTCCTCCGGCACCTGCCTATAGCTGGCATAATCTCATATGTATACATAAATAAAAAATAAAACTAAACCTTAAAAACCCACTAAAACAGTGTGTGTGGGGGCATCATTCATACTAATCAAGGATTTCAGGAGACATAAAAATAGATGCCTGTCTGGCAGAAAAGAAAATAAGAAGGCTAGTCCAACAGGAATAAATGCTCTGTGTACCTGAAGAATGGCAAAGGGCAGTATTAACAAGGAAAACTTTTCCCGTTGTTTTTACTCAACAACCACATCTATCTCACATTTCACTTTCTGTAGCTGGGGGGCCAGACCCCCCACGAAGAGCTTCAGTCTTCCAAAAAGGAAGGGTACACTATCGTAGTTACAATTTAGGGTAAGACTCAGTAACAGCTCCACAATCTGACAACACTACAGGAATCACAAGTCTTCTACACCTATCAGCTTTAGAAGGCACAACTGGAAGATATAATTTATACAAATGGCTTCTGTACTTTATTATAATTCTGAAAGAGAAGAAAAAGTACCCTTTCACACTTGTTTGAATGATTTCACACCTACCCAAATACTTACTATATATCCTTCGATTTTTGGGGGGACAACAAGAAGAGTCAAGTCACACTAATATGGCAGTTATGTCCACCTGGGATGAGAAGAACCTAGCCATCAGCCCCAGGGAGCAATACCAGTCATAGGAATATAATGAAACTAAGTCTGTGGTCCACATTCAGCAGTGTCTCCTTTCCTAATCTTCTGTAAACACTTCATGGTTTAAATTCTAAGGCTTCATTCCTGTGCTGAGCTTTTCCTTCTTAGACTTGGCAGGATCAACCCAGTGATTTGAATTAGCTAGCAAGAAGACAAGGCTCACTGACCAAGTAAACATGTCAAGAAAGTCATCTAAAATAAGAAATGTGCTGGGTGTGGTGGCGCATGCCATTAGTGCCTTTAGTCCCAGAACTGGGGAGGCAGAGGCAGGGAGATCTCTGAGTTCAAGGTTGCCCTGGTCTACAAAGTGAGTTCCAAGCCAGATGGGGTTACAGGGAGGTCTTGTCTCAAAAGACCAAAAAATAGATGATTGATGATCGATTGATTATAGATAGATAGATAGATAGATAGATAGATAGATAGATAGATAGATGATAAATAAAATAAAGAATGTGCACAAAGATGTTCACTGTAGTGTTATTTACAATGACAGAATTTGCAAGGAACCTGATTAATCTACAACACGAGAATGGTTAAGTAGGCCAGGGATGTGAGGTAGTTGTTGACGGCTTGTCTAGCACACACAAGGATCCTGGGCTCCATCCCCAGCACACACACACACTCTCACAAAAACAAAGTTATCAGGGGGACTAAGGAGATGGCTCAATGAGTAAGCATGAGGACAGACCTGTGAACAAATCTCCAGCATCCGTAAAACTCAGGCATTGCCATGCATGCCTGTAACTCGAATGCTGTGAAGGACAGAGATGGGAGGATCACTGGAGCATGCTGGCTGCCAGCCTAGCTCCTGGTTCAGTGAGAGACTTTGTCTCTCAAGAAAATAGGTGTAGAGCAGGACACCCAACATCCTCCTCTGGCCTCCATAGTCACTTATACACCTAGGTGCACATTTATCACACACACATATACCACATGTACATACACAAACACACACAATTTTTTTATATTTTATGTGTATGAGTGCATTACCTGCATGTACATAAGCGTACCCATATCATACAATGCCTACAGAGGTCAGATGGCACCGGATCCCCTGGAACTGGAGTTACAGATGGTTGTTAGCTGCCATGTGGGTGCTTGAAACCAAACCCGGGTTCCAAGAGCAGCCAGTGCTCTTAAATCACTGAGCCATCTCTCTAGTCTCAACATACCTCAATTTTTTTTTAATACATCAATTTTTTTAATGGTTAAGTAGTGCGGGAACTGGCCAGATTTAAAGAACAAATCTCCTGCAATAATGTGGCTACTGGGTGAACATCAGCCCAGAGAGCACACACATGAAGACTGGCTGCATTCAGTAAAACTCCTTTATACAAAACAGACAGCATGCATACAGGCCAATTGTCTACACCTGAAGCAGCACATTTATAGGCATTTAAAAAATATGCAAAGGAACTCTGAAACACCATGAAAAACACACTTGAAGTTACTAAGAAAGTATATTCACAGGGCTGGAGACATGGCTCAGCAGTTAAGAGTACTGACTGCTCTTACAGAGGACTCAGGTTCGATTCCCAGCACCCACATGGCAGCTACAAACTGTCCTTAACTCCAGTTCCAGGGGAATCCGAAGCCCTCTTCTGACCTCCGTGGCATTGCACGACACAGGTGCACTCACATATATGCAGGCAATACACTCATACACACAAAAATAAAAATAAAATAGAAAAAAAAAGAAAGTATATTCACAAAATAACCACAAGCCCATGAGAAGCAAACTTCCAAGTGACTGCAACTGGGTCTGGGAGGTGACTTCTCTACTGACAGAACTTGTCATTTGGCTCTGGGTCAGCTACAGTATCTTCTAGGATTTAGCTGCTACTCTGGCTAATAGAACAGTACCTGCTTATCCATCTGAAACTCCCTCAAGTCAATCACTGCATAGCCAAGGGAAGGCCTTGAAGAGCATCAAACTCCAGGCAAGAAGTGTTTGCTAAACATGGGTAAGAACCTTGAAAAAAGAGATGCATACTAACAGCCCTAGAAGGGAGACGTACCTTCCTTGGCCACTTCCAGGGCTCCTTGTGGAGCCTGCCCACCAAGCAATGGAATACAGATAAAAACAAGGTAAGCAACGAGAACTCAGGTAGACAATCACTTGTGCCTTCTTGTCTTACATCTACAACTCACAGACCCTGTCTCAAAAAAGACAAAAAGAAAAAACAAAGAAAGCCGGGCATGGTGGCGCATGCCTTTAATCACAGCACTTGGGAGGCAGAGGAAGTAGGATCTTTTTGAGTTCAAGGCCAGCCTGGTCTACATAGCAAGTTCCAGGCCAACTGGGGCTACAGGGAGACCCTGTCTCAAAAAGACCAAAAAACAAAACAAAACCACCAAAACATCCACAACTCACTCACCTCATACAATCCCTCGAAGAAGGTGTTCTTGTCCTCTGTGCTCCATGACTCCCACTGACGCCGGACCTTCTTTCCTTCTTCCTTCTCTGCTCCTGAAGACCCTAAGTTCCGGGAAGAGGAGCGCGAACCTCCTGCAGGGGTGACAGGAGCAAGCCCAGACACGTTTCCAGACGATGATGCACCACTGTCACCTCCTTGGAGAGAAAGGACTATATAGTGACCTGTTCCAGAAAGCTGGTGGAAGGACAGAGGGGCAACAAGGACAAGAGCCCATTGCCCCACCGCATTCTAGCTGATGTCAGTAAGAGAGTACCTAGAAGAAGCCATTAAATTCAGAAGAGAACCCAGAGCTGACCAGATGATTCTACAATGTTTTCATAACAAGAAGGAAAAGAGCCTGTGTGGATTGTTTAAATGTAGTGATGCTGTCCATTTGATGTTCCATCCACACAAAAGGTATAACCCCCCGTTCTCTTAAACAAAGCCATGATTCTCATATTTCAAAGTGTTTCTTCATCATGTGTGTTTTTTCTAAGTTAAAATACTCTTACCATCTTTTTGAATAAACAAGTTGAACTTCAGGGGCAAGAGGACATTTATGTGTGTAAAACACTGTCTTCAGCTGGGCATGGTGGCACATGCCTGTAGTCCCAGCACTTGGGAGGCAGAGGTAGTCAGATCTCTGTAAGTTCAAGGCCAGCATGGTTTATGTAGTGAGTTCTAGGCCAGCTGGGATGTGTCCCAAATTGCCTGTTTCCCCAAGGGGAAGGCCTGCTGCAGAGAACTGACTGCTGAGGGGCTTCTGGGAGCCATCTTGTGACAGAAGCCATGAGCCACCACAAACACAGGCAGTGGGGGTGGAAAAAAAAATGGCCCAGGTGTCTCACCCACATGGACAGGAGAGGGGAAATTACCAACCTGGGATGAGAGAGACTGTAGGCCCTAGAGGCATGGGCAAAAGTTAATAGAGACTGTGAGCGGGTGCAGAAGCGATCTGGTATGGTGGGCTGAGCCACACAGTTGGGTTCTGGGTGTGTATTTCTATGTAAATCCCCCCATTTACACCCTCCTTATCAAAGGGCATAAATGATAATAAATTCACATCAAAATATGGCATATGGTTTCTCTGATCATACAAGAGACTCCCGAGAGAACTCTACCGACAAAATTGGTGCAGCAGGAAGGATGGCATTAAAATGACAAACCATCAAAGTTTGGAAAAAGCTAGAGAGCTAATGGCAGCCTTGATGTGGTTTTTAAAATGGATTAGGAAATCTGTAACTAAAAAGAAGCCAGCCACACAGAAGCATGGGCCAAAGCTATTTTGTAAATGTGGGGGTATGCTGCTGGTATATGAAGATTTGTTAAAGGTTATCAGAGGCTAGAAAAAACCGTTATAAAGCTTGGACACAAGCAGAGAACCCAGAGAGGGGGCATGGCCACTTTGTATAATAAAAGATGTGCCCAAGGGAGAAAAAAACTGGGATATTTTAACTTGTGTAAGGTCCCAGGACTCTGGAAAAAAGACAGATAATAATGAAAAAGGAAATGACCTAAAAATAAAAGTAGCTAAAGCTGCCCCTCAGATTCAACCTTTGAGACAAAAAGAAAACAAAAGAGCTAACAGTACTGAAGCTAGAAAATCCTCCACACTGAAATTTTTAAAAGTAGGAAAAACTTACAAGGAAGCAATCAAGGAGTGCCTCACCACATGGCTCATGAGGGGATGGGACATGGGAACAAATAACGTCAGCCAAAGTCCCTCAGAAGCTTCACAGCTGAGTCATATAACCACCCATCCATCCTTGCAATACAGACTGCTCAACCTAGACCAATGCAGGGGTGAGTAGTCCTTAATGGGATGGCTGGTGGAAGGCATTAGAGATACAAGGTCATCACCAAGGGAAACTCCCATAATTAACAGAGGCTGGAGCACTATAAAGGAGGGACAGACATTACTGAGAAAACTAGGTATGAGAA